ATTAAAGTTGGTTAAGGCATCTGAACCAGCCTTGGGTATTGAGGCAAGAGAAATGAAGACTCCGTGTCTGGGAACAGTATCCCCAAGATTGTTTGTAGGGTGACTTCTGGTTGGCAGAGAGCATTTGGGAAGGGGGCAGAGAAAGCTCTTTGAGTCTTGGAGGTCCAAAGTCTTGGGACAGGCCCTGGGGCCCTCTTTTAGAGTAGGGGCCTTCAGGGTGTCTGGGAGGTGTTCCTACTTGTCACTTTCTTTGGGTTTATTGATTATCCTGGTTGGGGATAAGGAAATGAATGACAGGGAGCCCCTTGAGAGGTAGGAGACAGGGGGTCCTTGCCTGTACAGTCTCCTCCCTGAAGTGTAGGCATTCAAGGGAGGAAAAAGGGAAGGGGTGCCATGACAAGTATCCAGCAGCAGAAATCTCTCATTTCATGGTTCTGGAGCCTGGAAGTCTGAGGTCAAGGTGTGGACAGGTTTGGTTTCTTCTGAGGTCTCTCTCCTTGACTTGCAGATGGCCGTCTTCTCCCTGTGTCCTCACCTGGTCCTCCCACTGTACACGTCTGTGTCCTAATTACCTCTTCTAAGGATGGCACTCATATCGGGTTAGCGCCCACCCTAAAAACAAAAACAAAACAAACCTCATTTTCATTTAATCACCCCATTCAAAAGCCTCGTCTCTAAACATAGTCACATTCTGAGGTTCTTGAGGTGTTAGAACTTCAACATATGAATTGGGGTGGGGGAGGGAAGAGGATACAATTCAGCCCAGAATAGAAAGGAATTGGCATTCTCTACCAGGTTCAAGCTTAATTTTATAACTTCTGATGAACACTGATAGCTTTATCAGGGTTCTTTATTTTATTGAAGATTGATTTGAAGGGGTGTGGAGGGGCATAAGGAGAGGGAGAAAGAAACCCAAGCAGACTCTGCTGAGCGCAAAGGCTGACACAGAGCTTGATCTCAGGACCCTGAGATCATGACCTGAGCTGAAACCAAGAAAACTGCAGTGACTGCACCACCCAGGCACCCCACTTTATCAGGGTTCTTATCTTTACAAATGGATCCATGCCATGGGAAGACATTTCTGAATGTGTGTGTGTATGTGTATGTGCACACGCGCATGAGAAAGATTTGAATGAATTTAACACAAGTTGGAGGATCAGAGTGATTATCACAGATGAAGCTTTCATATTCCAGCTATGCCCCTCATCCACCCCCAAAATGCCTATTCCCATGCCCTGAGAAGAGGGGGAGAGTCATGGCTTAGGAAAGAGAACTGAGCGTCTCCTCATTCTGAGGCTTCCTTATTAGGCTAATTTGAGATCCTTTGTGTTCATCCTACTTCCAGCCTGTTTGGGGCCAGCTCCTACAACCCATGGAAATGTCTCCTGTCTCAGAGGCAATGGACTGTTTACCTATATACTAATAGGAACAATCTTAACCGTGTTCATTTTGTTTTTATCTACAAAAAAAACTCTTGCTTTTGAAGTCAGTATTAAAAAGCATACAGGAGGAACTCCAGGGTAAATTCTCTATATTTTTCTAAAACCATTTCTGTTGGTTGAATGACATATTCCCAGTTAACTGGACGCAAAAGTGGTAATGAAGTTCAGCTCAGCCAATTGTTAACAACCCGGGATGACAGCAAATCCTCCCAGCTGAGAAGTTTATGCTGAATAAAGTGGCCCAAATCCTCTATGGCTCTTGATTTTTTGCTTGCAATTCCCTTGTCAGTGTGCAGAAGTGGTGGTTTTTCATCAACTTCCTGCGGACATCTTTTGATGACTCACACTGGGCCACTTTTGTGAACTCAGGTGTGTGGTGGCATCCCCACCTCGTGCCATCTGCCCTTTTATACACTCTAAGGTGAACACCAGAGTGGAGTGCAGGTTCTCGCTTTCTCTTTCAACTATTAAACTGTGTTGCTGGGAAGGCGCTGTGTGCTTCTTAGGACCCGTGTGCCCACACAGAAGACTTATTCCCTTGTGTATGTGTCTAGAAATAAAAAGCTGATGGACGGCAAGCTAGTTAGGGGAAAGATGTGCTTTTCCAGCTGATTCTGACCCAGTATCTTATCTGTAGGGATAGAAAGCAGCCTCACAGTACTGCAGTTCCTCTGGCTTCTTGACATCAGCTGTTTAGATAGAAGCTCATTATCGCTGGGTTGGAGGTCAAGAATGACACTTGGTAAGCTGTAGGCACCGTGATATGGAGCCGTACGGAGCACACCGGCCCCAGAGCCGGGATGTTCTAACCCCACTTCAGCTTGAAACATGAAGAACATTAATTAAGATCGTGGGGGGAGATTTCCCTAACCCTTAGGGAAGAACAAGCCAGACTTTTGTTTGCTTGCTGCTGCTACTGATTCTGAAACGGGGATTTATACAATTAATTGGCTGCTTGTGGAGTCGCGCTTCTGACTCTTACATACTGTCCTTAGAATAAAGTCAACGTCTAAAAAAATCAGACTCGACACATGGCAAACATTCAGTAGCTGTTGAGTTAATTACACAATAAGTTGTGCCAGGACAAACCCAGTGTGGTATAGACTAGCACCGGAATATTATTCGGCCATAAAGAGAAGTGGAGTTCTGGGACATGGTACAACATGCACGACCTTGAAAACGTTATGATAAGTTAGATGCAGGCCCAGATGAGCAAATATTACACAATTCCACTTCTGTGAGGTACCTCGAATAGGCAAACTCATAGAGACAGGAAGTAGAATAGTGGTTATCAGAGGCTGTGGCGTTGGCCGCGGTGGGGACTCGTTTAATGGTACTGAGATTGTGTTAGAGATAATGAGAAAGTTCTGGAAATGGGTGGTGGTGGTGATGGTTGCATGACATTGTGAATATACTTAATGTCACTGAGCTGCACACTTCAAAAATAGTAAAAATAGTAAATTTTATGTCTATTTCACCATAATAAAAATTGTTTTTTAAATTGATTACAGGGATCCCTGGGTGGCTCAGCGGTTTAGCGCTGGCCTTCAGCCCAGGGCTTGATCCTGGAGACCAGGGATCGAATCCCGCATCAGGCTCCCTGCAATGGGGCCTACTTCTCCCTCTGCCTGGGTCTCTGCCTCTCTCTCTCTCTTTCTCTCTCTCCCTGTCTCTCATGAATAAATAAATAAAATCTTAAAAAATAAATAAATAGATTCCAATGCAGGAAGGGCATGTAGGACTTCTTCATATGCAAATATATGAAAATTAAACCTTACCATTCTTACACATGTATTACGTGAACTTTTTTTTTTTAATGTATTACGTGAACTTATAAGCCTGTTTGAGGGCAGTTTTTCTGTGGATCGGCCCCCAATCAGCAGTATAAAAAACCTTTACTCCAGGCATTGCCAGGGACTACAGCCTTAGACAGTGTAGCCCACTTCCCACCTAGCTTTTCATTGGGAGAAATAATATATATTGGGCTTCTTTTGGGCCTTGGTAAATCACTCTATTGAATTGTGCTTTCGTATCATATGTCTCCTTGAGGGATGCGGTAAGAATCATGATAGGAGACTCCCTACTAAAAAAAAAAAAAAAAAAAAAAAGGAGACTCCCTACTATATATACTTAGAGGTACTTCTAATTAATTACTTTCCCTCCCTCCCTTCAGTGTGAATGATAAGAAACACTTTGGGAATTTACCCCAGGAAGGAAAGGTTAATACCTTGGGAGAAATTTCTTAATAACAAGAAAAAGGCTAACACTCATGAAGCATGTACATTGTACTTTATCTTAGAGTCAGTGTGATTGTGTCTCTTCATTGCTTTGGCCACTAAGATGCTCAGAACCTAATTTATGAGTCATGTCGGGCTATAGCTTAATACCTTACAAAATACAGTTCTGTGGATTAACTTTTCCTCATGCTCTAGCCTCTCTTCTGTGTTGTCTTCTTCACATTGTATACTCACCTTGTAAGTTGATGCATTCTTTCTTGGCATTAGGTGGTGAATTAAGGTTCTCCAGAGAATCCTGGCCAATAGGGAGTGTGTGTGTGTGTGTCTAGTGATTTTGATCAATAGATAAAAATTGATTTTAAAGAATTGCCACCCCCCCAAAAAAAATAAATAAATAAAAATAAAGAATTGCCACCCGTGGTATGGAAGCAGGCAAGTCTAGGATTTACAGGGCCGGCCAGCAGGCTGGAGATCCAGGAAGAGGTGATGTCACAGCCGTGAGTCCAAAGGCTGCACTGAGGCAGAAATCCCTCTTCCTAAGGGAACCTCACCTTTTCTCTTGAGGCCTCAACTGATCGGATGAGGCCCATGCATGCATGCTACGAGGGGTAATCTGCTCCACTCAAAGTCTCCTGATTTAAATGTTAATCACATCTAAAAATGCCTCTACCACATCATCTAGACTTGTGTTTGACCAAAGAACTGGGGGCCATAGCCCAGTCAGTTGATTAAGCCCAGTGTTAACCATCACAGATTAGGGCTATAAATACACAATAGAATTTCCTTAAAATGGGCCATAATTGTGGTCTTCTACATTTGCTGCTTTGAATGCGTGTAGAAGATGATTACATTTCCCTCCCGCCGCCTCATCTCGGTTCAAATTCCATGTTGTCATCCTTTCATCAGCTGGTAGGGCTGTCTTCCAGAGCGGGCTTATTTCCACGGCATAGAGTCTTCATTGTGTGCGGATGCGTTCAGTGTGTGAATGCTCTGGCCTGCCAACACACCCTGGTACAGGTAAGTGTTATACGGAGGTCCGCCAGCACCTTGCAGGGGGTGTGATGAGGTCCCTGATTTCACCAGTGATTACCATTCCCAATTAGATGGGCCCCAGGTGTGTGTTCATAAACTGGTAGCTCACTCTCTGCAGCTTTAACAGCCCCACCCGACTTGATTCCAGGGATTTTATATTGCTGCTGTTGTAGGCTGAAAGGTCTCCAAACATCCAGAGGCCTGCTGTTTGCTAGAGAACATTCCAGTTGTTGAAGAATGTAACTCATCCCCTGCAGCCGTTCTTACTTTATCTTTTTATCTTTGGTAGGCTGGCTACTTTGCTTGGGCGCAGACCTCTTCACGGTCAGTTGGAGAGAGGAGCCTGACGGCCGCGCTCTCTCTCATGAGGTAAGAACGGAAGCGATTACGGACAATCTTTGGCTTTTCGTTTGGGAGCTGCAGGTCAGGCGATGGGAGATCCAGGCGGACTCTGGAACATCTTGGGACTCTGTCTTTTGCCAGTTTCCTGAGTCATTTGCCAGGTGTCCTAGCCCATCCTGAACTCTGTGCTGCTCCCTGTAGTCCCGGGATTTGGTAGGCAGATTTTGGCTCAAGTCATATTTCTGGTGAACCCACAGAGGGGGTGCCCATGTCCAGGGAATGGCTAGTAGATGAAAGACTCCTCTGTTTCCCACATAATGCATGACTTTGGTCAGTTACAAGAGAATGTTCCAGAGTTACTATCCCAGCAATGGGGGCAGGAATTAGTGGGGGATAGGAAATGATGCTCAGAAGTGTCTAGATCAAATGAAAACCATTGCTAACTCTTACTTAGGAAGTGCATTCACTAATTATCGAGCATTTGTAATTATAGGACATTTAAATGTTAAGGATTAGAACATTTTTCCTGATCCAAAATAAGATGAAAGTGTTACCCCAACAGAAAAGAGGCAGCAGCATCTATTTGGGCATGTTTAAAGTTGTATGTTTTACCCATGACCGCTTTTTTACTTCATTCACTTGCCTTTTCGGTTTTAGGTGTGACGTTTAATACACAAGTTGACCAGGTTCGGTTGTTGGACCCGTCTCTATTTTCCCAGTGAAAAAACTGAATCTGCGATCTGATTTTCTCTGGTCAGGCTGTCAAGGCCAGGGAATGTCTTCTTGAGGCTCCAGGGACCTGAGACTGGTCTGCTGAGGAGCCTTCCTCCTGGTGGGGGCTATCAGCAACCAGCTCGGAGCCCCCCCCACCCCGCAAACAGACCTCCCACCTTGCATCTCAGGGCTGAGGGAGGCGGCCTCCACAGGAAGTTGTCTGAGATCGTGAGCTGATTTGGAGCCAAAAATCTTCTTGTTTCTTGTCTAAAGAGCGGATAGAATTATTAGCACCCATGTTTGTAGGAGATAATTACAAGTTTCAAGCACAAAACAGAATTCTGTAGAGTATCTACTCAGGTGGTTTATTGCTTGCCCTTTTTTAAAAGGATGACATTGTATTCTCTTAATTAGGCCCAAGAAAACAAGTAGGAATCTGTATGTTATCACTATTTTCCTCCGGGCATATTGGGTGGTGTGCAAGCTGTTACTTCATCTGAAAAGTCTACTAGATATTAATAAATCCGGAGAGTGTGGAGATTAGAGAAGGGATGGTCCAGTAATGAGACGCATGGAGAGCACTGGGCCGTCTTCCAAAGCAAGGAAACTTCATGCCTTTTTAGTTACGGTGTTAAACACAGTGTTAGGAACATCATAATGCTGATAATCATAATAATAATGATAACAATGGCAATAAAAAATAATAACTGTGATATTAGCCATCTCTATCACTGTCATCATGACAGCTGTCATTTGCTGGCTCCTGCTTTCTGCCAGGTGCTAGACTAAACGTTCTGTTTGCATTATTTCCAACCTGCGTGGCCTTCCTGTGAAAAAGGTCCTATTAATATCTGCCTTTTAGGGTTGAGGAAACTGAAGCTGAAGGATTGCCTTACTTGTTTGAGAAGGAGAGTATACATATTTGCGCGCACTTGTGCAAAAGGGGGGCAGAGGAAAAGAATCTCAAGCAGGCTCCCCAGTGAGCGTGGAGCCCGATCTCATGACCCTGAGCTCAGGACCTGAACCAAAATCACGAGTCTGACGCTTAACTGACTAAGCCGCCTAGGCACTCCAAGGAGACTGAAGTTCAAAGAAAATCGGTAAGTTGCCCAAAGTTGGATAGCCAAGCCCAAAGTAGCAGATCAGGAATATGACTGAGCAGCACAGAGGAGGAGCCAAGCACGTTGAGGCTTTGACCCACATGCAGCTATTCAGGGCTGAACCCCCACTTCACTGTCCCCCTTGCCCCTGCTCACATGCCCTTTGCCCTCTGGCCACCATTGACATTGTGTCTCTTCTGCATCGAGGTAGCCAGAACAGTAAACAATATATAAAGAGTTCAAGAATGTTAAAGAATATTTGGCCTGTAGGGAACAGCAGAAGGAATGAAGAATAAAACTCACCCAGTGTTTTTTTTTTTTTAAAGCCATCTTTATAGTCATGACCATGTTGATGTGTTTTGCTACTATTTTTAAACTTTGTGTAGTTTGTTCACATAATTTCTACATATTTAAGTTATGAAATTTAAATCTAACAAGTATTTTCTTGTGCCTCTGTCTTATAAGCCTATGTTAATGACCGCTTGAGCACTCATTAGAGGGCTCTTAAGTTTATTCCACAAGAAGTTGTATCCTTGAGTTGCTCCCATGTGACAAGTGCAATTAATTTTTCTTTCTTTCTTTCTTTCTTTCTTTCTTTCTTTCTTTCTTTCTTTCTTTCTTTCTTTCTTTCTTTCTTTCTTTCTTTCTTCTTTTTTTTCTTTCTAGGTTTATTTATTTCAGAGTGAGTGAGAGAGAACATGTATGAGGGTCGAGGAGACAGAGTGAGAGTGAGAATCTCCAGCAGACTTCCCCCTGAGCATGGAGCCTGATGTAGGGCTCGATCCCATGACCCTGAGATCATGACCTGAGCTGAAATCAAGAGTCGGAGGCCCAACCGACTGAGCCTCCCAGGCACCCCAAGTGCAGGGTTTGTGCCCACTGCTTTGGGGAGCTGGTATTGGTCTACTGCCAGGTGGTTGGAACAGTGGAGTGGCTATGCCTCCTCACACTGTAAACACCTTGTATCTTGAGAGGGGTCTCTCTAGGTTGGTGGTCTCTCTAGGTCCAGCTGGCCTGGAGCCCAGATGACCCAGATCTGGCTCTGCACCAAAACCAGTTGTGAGTCCTTGGGTAAATTACCTCATTTTAGCATCTTTATCTGTGGACCAGTTACATCTAGTGAGATCTATGGTTCCATGAAATCAGGAGTTTTCTGAACTTTTTTGACTTATAACCTGATGAGTTTCAATTGAGGCAGCAATTTGGGTTGGCCTCAGCTGGGTTACTCTGAATTGCTTCATGCAGGGAATTTTGTTTTTCAAGATGACCAGGCCTATAAGCCCTTGGAACGTGAGATGTCCTTAACTACTTTCATATCATTTTTGCTGTCTTCATTTCTGTGCTTTCCCCCTGCCCCAACTCTCTCATACCTAGACCCCCACAAAACTACATGCTACAGAGTATGTGCTCAACAAATACGGAGGGAATAAACAAATACAGATGAATGCTACTGGTCTTCACCCCTAGCACTATGGGTCGTCCAATTTATCAGATTAATAAGATTGTTTTCATTTAGATGTGGTGGCTTTGCTTTTGTTTTTAAATTTAAATTCAACTAGCCAACATATAGAACATCATTAGTTTCAGATGTTGTGGTCAGTAATTCATCAGCTATATATAACACCCAGTGCTCATCACATCACGTGCCCTCCTTAATGCCTGTCACCCAGTTACCCCATCCTCCACCTCCTTTCCCTCCAGCAGGCCTCAGTTCCCTAGAGTTAAGAATCTCTCATGGTTTGTCTCCCTCTCTGATTTCCTCCCATTCAGGTTTCCCTCCCTTCCCCAATGATCCTCTGCACTGTTCCTTATATTCCACATGAGTGAAACCACATGATAATTGTCTTTCTCTCATTGACTCATTTCTCTCAGCATAATACCCTCCAGTTCCAGCAATTGCACAACTAGGTGTTTACCCCAAAGATACAAAGGTGGTGACCCAAAGGAGCATCTGCACCCCAATGGTCATAGCAGCAATATCCACAATAGCCAAACTATGGAAAGAGCCCAGATGTCCATCAGCAGATGAATGGATATAGAAGGTGTGTGGGTGTACAAATATAATGGAATATTACTTAGCCATCAAAATGTGGCTTTGCTTTTAATAGACAGGAACTTAAGCTTCTGAAATTTCTCCTAATGTGTTCAGAGTGATTTTCCTACAGAGTCACTTATCAGTTCTTCCCACATGTTACACATGATAGAACACTGATCTATGGAACTTGGTACTTTTTCCCTTTGTGTTGTGGGTCGAGAGAGTTTTTTTGCTTAGGTCACAGCAAAATCAAAGCTTGGGATGTCATCATTCTCTTGTGTGACCAGCAGAAAAAATGAAGGTGTTCTGGGCTCCCTTCTTTCTTGGACCACGAGGATTACATGGTTGGGTCTGACCGGCTCTCCAGGATTCCCACTTGGTCATGTGGTCCTTGAGTTGGTTTGCTTCTACCTTGAAGATGTCTACCTAATTCACTGTGCAATACTGAAGATGCATGGTATAAAGCTACTTACAAGGAAGCCGGATCTTCCATTTTGCACCCTGGATTGTATTATGGACAAAAAATAACCAAATCCTGTGTTTCCATTCCATCCCTCTCCACAGAGACATAGTTTGGTACTTACTTGGCACAGAAAGCTTGCCTCTGTCTCCCAAGATTTGATCATTAATCAGCCTTCGCTTTTCCCAAGGTATTATGCTGACTGTGGTGGCCTTGGTGGCCATAGGTGGGTGGGATTGAGAGCTTGGCAGCACCATGTGGTAGTTGGTAAGCCTGTTGACAGACAGATAAGTGGCCTGGTTTCTTGTGAATGTTTGTGTTGGAAATGCTGTTGATAATAAAGCCTCATGTGTTCAGGGCTCTGTATCAGTTATCTATTGCATAATAAGAAACCACCAGAAGCTCAGTGGCTTAAAACAATAACCATTTTATTTGCTCGTGATTCTGTAGGTCAGCAATTTGGGCTGGGTTCTGCTAGTCTTGCCTGCTGGGATCCCTCATGCAGCCATAGTCAGCTGGTGCCTACAAGGGAGTTGAAAAATAGAATAGTAGAGAAAATCAAGAATTCATGGCCATGTGAAATTTATCCTAGGGTCTTAACTTGGATATGAAAGCAATCGGAAATTAGTTTATCTGACAGTTATTTTTGTCTTACACCCTCTTGGAGTAGGGATGGTGTCGTCAGCCCATATGAGAGTAACGTGCTCAGTGATATAATAATAATGACAGCAATGATAGCGGCAAATGTTAACATCATTCCTACTAATGCCAAACGCCGTTGTAAGTCCTTTATATGTCATAACACATTTGGTCATCATACGGTCTTATAGAATATGTACTGTTTTTATCCCCATTTATGGGTCAGAAAACCAAGGCACAGAGAGGTTGAGTAATCCCCCTCCCCAATGCCATAAAGCTACCAAGGGGCAGAACTGGGGTTCCACCTGGGCAGGCTGGCTCCAGAGTCTGCATTAACCCCAAGTGCTTCCCAGGTTCATGGAAATGAAATCTTCCTGACTCTTAGCAGAGTTCTCTCTTGGAGCATGTAGTTTTTCTAGAGGCAGGGGAGTTAGCTATTTGGAGAGGGACCCAGCCTTCCTGGGTATACCCACGTGGCCAAAAATGGGTCCAGTTACGTTGTAAGAGACCCTAATTGGAGGGAGTAAGGACGCTCGCGATCCCATGGAGCAGAGAGTAACTCTGAGCATGTATGTGTGCGTGTGGGCCTCTGCTAATGGTTATGGTCGTGGTGTCACCTTCTCGGGAGACATTTGAAGAATGGGAATATTTAATAGTGTCTTCCCTAGCCCCTCAGATAGTCTCTCGTTCTTGGCTTTCAGTAATTAGAGGGCCTAACCTCAGAAGGAAAGAATGTATCTCTTTAGCTTATTATTTAAAGATGACCCCAGGGAAAGGATAGGCTCACAGATGCTTTTATCCAGTGTTTGTGGAACTACATTCAGTCCAATCTCCAGGTGGTCCCAGGTGGCATAAGGAAAGTGACACATTTCACTAATATTTATAAGGTTACCCTTGTCACCACAGATAAAGTGGCCCATGGCCCCTTCCTTAGTATGACCAGGACTTTCCAGTTACCACTAGAACTGGGGAAAGACTCCCAGGCCAAGACTTGGGGGCAGGTATTCTAGCCATCTAGCATTTTCTCTCCATCTAGCACCTTCCCTCTGTCTAGATCTTCTCTCCATCTAGCATCTTCTCTCCGTCTAGCATCTTCCCTCTGTCTAGAATCTTCCCTCTATCTAGAATCTTCTGTCTAGCATCTTCTCTCCATCTAGAATCTTCCCTCCGTCTAGCATCTTCCCTCTGTCTAGAATCTTCCCTCCATCTAGAATCTTCTCTCCGTCTACCACCTTCCCTCCGTCTCACATCCTCTCTCCGTCTAGCATCATCTCTCTGTCTAGTACCTTCTTTCTGTCTTGCATCCTCTCTCCGTCTAGCACCTTCTCTCTGTCTAGCACCTTCTCTCTGTCTAGCATCTTCCCTCCATCTAGCATCTTCTTTCCGTGTAGCACCTTCCCTCCATCTCGCATCCTCTCTCCGTCTAGCATCTTTGCTCCATCTAGCACCTTCTCTCCGTCTAGCACCTTCCCTCCGTCTAGCACCTTCTTTCCATCTAGCATCTTCTCTCTGTCTAGCATCCTCTCTCCATCTAGCATCTTCTCTGCATCCAATCTCATTGTTGCCTCTTGGCTCCGCAAGTAGCCACCTCCTTCTGATGTACTCGTCCTCCTCTTCTGACTCGGGTTAGCATTGCTGACTATTCCCTTGACTCAGTGGTGTTTGCCACAACTTCTACACGGGTGAGAAACTGAATGCTCACCCTAATACGGTCTCCGGCAAGAATGTGAGCTGGAGGATAGGCATTCCAAGCAGGCACAGGCACCCCCACCCACCCCTAGGCAAAGCAGAACATGGGGGCGGGGAGGAGGCTGCTGGCGGCCCTCCCCTTCCATCATACCTTCCCATACCAGGAACTTCCCTAAAAGCCACATCAAGATTGTCAAGAAATCCTAGCGATGCTTTCCCCATATCAATGGAAACTGTTACCTTTATAATCTTTTCCTTCAGCTGATCCCAAAGAGTTTATAATCATGTCCTGCATTGAGTACTTCTTCCTTTTTGGATACTTGCTTGCTTTTTCTCTGATTTGAACGGGGCTGGGACCATTTACCCCTAGCACAGAAATGAAAACCGGACCGGCAGGCCTCTGCAGCAGGCATTCTCTGAACAGTGCCTTACTGTCTGCGGTTGCAACTGAATAGTCCAGCCTGCCTTTATGACAGAATGAGAGAACGGACACATGGAGGAAGCTGCTTTTGTTTCCAAGGCCTTTGGGGCTTTTCTTTCCTGGCTATAAACTTAATTGCTTCCTGGGATAGATCTGTCCAGTACCCCTTTAGCTCCCACCTGTTTGGCCAACCGGGACTCCCAAGCCCTGCACCTTTGTTTTTCTGTGGGTTTGGTCGATGGACATTAGTTTTCCTTTGACTCTGGCTAACATGGCCTATTTGGAGGGACATGGTGGGCCCCAGGCATAGGAGGTGAGTGTGGGAGATGGAGGAGGTGGCAAGAGGCAGCTGCGCCAGTGGTGTACGGGATGAGAGAGTGCACGTTGAAAACTGGTTCACCACGGAGGCCTTGAGCGCCTGCAGAAGTCCTCATTTTTTTTTTTTTTCAGAAGTCCTCATTTTTCCTGAAGGGGAGGTTGAGTCACCTTACCCCTGCAGAGGACATTTCAGACATGCTGCATGTTGACTCAGCCTAGGATGGCTGGGTGTCATTGTTCCCCTTTCTCATGGGTTTTACGACCAATGTTGTAGGAAGACAATGCCTGAAAGTTTGTGTGAGCCCCTCCTTTTTTTTTTCTACCAGTGAAGATGATTGCTTAATAATAAACACTAAAAGGGAGTTTAAAAAAAAAAAAGACAGAAGAGGAAGGACTTTGCTCTAGGCTGGCTCTTGGCAAGGTAGTCTGAGCTGAAGAAGGCATTTTAAATGGTTAGGATGCATGTTTACCCGTCTGCACATGCATTTCTCAGCTTCTAACCCACATAGCACCAGGCGCTTTGGCAACTTCCTTATCATCCTCCGTGGCTCTTTGGTGGAAGGCTGCTATTAGCAGTCCAACCAACTAAAGCACAGCTTTTCGAATTTAACCTTAAGCAGCTCTTGAAATTTCACCTTTAAGAAGTCTTTCTAGAATAGACACAAAAACTTCCTCTATGTCTAAACATGGCAAGCCCATGCACGATTCTCCTGTTTTCACCGTGATCACATTCCATACTTACCCTGTGAACATCAAGTCCTGTCTACTTATTAGCCAGGTTTACTCGCTTTCTCCAAATGTGGGTCCCTGCTGGGGGATAAAAGGGCAAAAAAAGGTGTAACCACCTTCAGTGTGGCAGATCTGATGAGCCCCCGGCATGGTGCCACCAGATGGAGGATGAGTCGACGTGTGTGGACAGTGATGTGACCTACAGCGCGAACGTGATCACAGGTACCTTGCTTGTGTTCCGCTGTTCTCTTCAGATGTACCTTGATCGGGTGTGTGGTCAAGCCTTGTTCCAGAACTCTGCTTTGTAGCCTCAGCAATATATCCGATCAGATTATCACCAAAATCACACCTAGTGTAAGCCTATTCAGCTACTATCCGAAGGAACTCTAATAGGAGAGAATAATGTAGATAGTTACTTGCCATCTGTTAAATCAGTTTATTTTTTATCTTTTTTTTTAAAGATTTTATTTATTCATGAAAGAGAGAGAGGCAGAGACACAGGCAGAGGGAGAAGCAGGCTCCCTGCAGGAGCCCGATGCAGGACTCGATCCCGGGACCTTGGGGTCACACCCTGAGCCAAAGGCAGACACTCAACCACTGAGCCACCCAGGAGCCCCATTTTTTGTTTTTTAAAGATTTTATTTATTCATGAAAGAGAGAGAGAGGCAGAGACACAGAGGGAGATTTATCTCTTTAGTAGCATTTCATTTGGAAGTAAATCATATCTTTAAATCTTTAGTTGAAATATGTT